AATTGTCATATTAAAAGTAAACCCATAACAAATAATGGTCAAAATGAATTGCTTTTGGTTCCTTTTAATCATATTTCTAATAATTAATAAAAACATAATCATTTACCTTTTCATGATCAAAAAAACATGTTCTCTTGGTTTTCCGCCACCAATTTTTTTCAAACTATCAAGCTGAAATAAATGTAATAAAAATTAATGTAATTTAAATTTCTTTACAACATATTGAGTCTAACACAAGCTAGTTATTTTAGTTCATTTACAAATACTTTTCATTTAGATTCTAAACAAATAAACCAAATTTAAACAAACTTATTAAAAATTAAGATAATTAGATAATACCTAATTAGTATACTCGGTTTTATCTTTTAGTTTATTATCCAGTGTAACCACTTCGTCCACTGATTCTAGCAACTTCACCCCAGTAGCCTGAAACTTAATTTCTATAACTTTTTTTAAAAGAACTTTTATTTCTGCAAGCTCCTTGAGAATAACATTTTGCATCTCTACAAACAAGAATAAAAAGATTGATTAACATATTTAGCTCATAACCAAAAAGCAAAACAATGCAATAACAACTTTAATATTCAAATTATACTTGAGTAACTCAAACTAAAATTCCAAAATTATATGTTATTTTTTTTATTACTCCATCGCAGAATTTGCCATAATATTTTGGAAAACCTACTTTTTAAATCAGCTAAACTTTATCTGTAGAATCAGACAAAGGCAAGAGAGGCAGATTGGAAACCTAGTAAAAAATAATTTTGACTAAATAAAATACTTTGCAATAATAATATAATAAAAAAATAATCCACTTAAGTTATAGGTAAACACGCTGAAAATAAATTAAACATTCAAGTTTTACAGTAATTCTTATTTAATTTTGACAAATAAACAACAACAAATAATATTCAGATTTATGTCAAACCGTTACTGATAACCAGGGGTGTGGAGTTGTAAAAAAAAAAAAATGACTCCGACACCAGTTGTTGAAACTTTTTAAGTACAACTCCAACTCCGACTCCAGTTGTTGAAATTTTTTGAGCACAACTCCGACTCCAACTCCAACTTCGATTACAACTCCAAATCATTCGTTTAGAAAAATTTTTTAAATTCTTTAAAAAATATTACGGGATAAGTTTCTTTTTTGACAAATTTATGAAACGTTCTTTGAGGTTTAGTATAAACATAAGGTTAATTGAATGTTTTGTACATGCACGTACAATACTGAGAAGTTTTACTATTGGAGTTGGAGTCGCAATTTTGTTTAGCGACTCCAACTACGATGAAATTGTCTCAACTCCGCAACTCCGACTCCACAGCCCTGGTGATAACTTTCGTGTATTTTTCTTTGGGCTTGGCTCAAGAGCAATTCTTGATATCTCCTCCTTTAAAAGGTTACGATATTAAAGAATTTTGTTTAACTACTAAAGGTAATGTTGACCAAATGCTACACACATGATTTATCAGATCACAATATTATAAATAATCCATTACTATTCTATTATACTTATCTTTTACAATTATTTTAAAACAAAAACAAATTAATAAAAAAGACCTCCACATTAACATTCAGTGGTGTAAAAACCAAAACTACTCACATTAAAACTTGAAACTCTTTGACAATGTGAACTTTGCTTGGTTTTATTGTGTTCATCAATAAAATGTGAAGAAAAAACTTCTTCAATCTCTGAATCTGATAACAATTCTATTCAAAAGAAATAATTATAATTAGAAATATAAATAATTCCTCAACCATACCTGTTACTTAATTTAATCTTTCAACCAATTTTGTACTCTTTCAATTTCTGAATTCAAACAATTTCAGCATGCTTTCAATTAATTTTTAATTTTCATATCAAGTTGATTAAAGGATTATTTAATACAATAGAATGCTAACTAATAACTAGATAGATATTATTCAGATCAAATTAAACAAGAATCTATTTCAGTTTAAAAACCATTAAGAAAAAATTATGATATTTGTGTTATACACTTTTAGCATTGGGCTTATTCATAATAGGTGGCGAAGGTTCTGGCAATGAAGAGCGGTATGATTTGTTATTCTTATTTTTAATGCTTTCTTTAGCATATATCTCATCTGATGTAGAAAGTTGTATTCTTCACAACATGAAAATGAATCTAATTATAAAACATTTTGCTGCAAAAAAGTAATTAAGTTACTTTTTAAAAAAAAACACAAAACAAGTTAGATACTGACCATCTGTTATCTTACATTTTATCAATGGAAATTTGTGCCATTCTTTTGTTGACGAAAGGTTGTTTTTCAGTGCATGATTATAGTTTTTTTGGGACAATAAATTTGTTGCTATTCTTTGTCAATTCACTTGTTTAGTGCAACATTACTTGGTTAGAAAAAAATGCAGAAAAACTTTCCTTTAAAGTTGGGTTATGCTTATACTCATTAGGCTTTTGGTCATAAGAGTATTCATTGTACAAAATAGATGACTCATGATGGTCAAAATATTCTTTTAGATTTTCGCAAGATAAGAAATCATTTCTTTTAGAAGTTCCAACATTCGATTTTTTTTCGATATGTACTGATGAAAATTCTAGTATTTTTTAATATTCCTTTTGGACACGTCTACTGCATCTCTTTTTGTATGCCCTTTTTGTAAAAGACATAAATGAATCTTGGTTCCTCGATAAAAACGATAAGTGCACAACCAATAAAACAATCTTTTGTGTTATTGGTTGTGCACTTATCGTACAATATATATATATATATATATAATATATATATATATATATATATTATATATATATATATATAATATAAATATATATATATATATTATATATATATATATATATATATATATATATATATATATATATATATATATATATATATATATATTGTATATATATATATATATATACATATATATATATATATGTATATATATATATATATATATATATATATATATATATATATATATATATATATTAATTACATTAATTATACCAATTTTAGACGGTCTAAAAGACGTCTATTGTTTGCTGGGACTTTACAAAGTAATATAAAACTACATCATAACAACAAATAACTAATTAGTAAAAACACCTTATATAAAAGTAATTTGAAAAAAAATTTTATTTACATTTACAAATAAAAGTAATTTTTTTCTTTGAAATTTTATACTTTTCTTTGTAAGTAAGTGAAATGTAAGTTATATTATTCACTTTCTCAAAGAACAGTCTTTTCATGTTGATTTAACATAAACTTTGAGAAAGGTAGCGTATTCAATCCATTGGCTGTTTGAGGGTACTTCTGCGTAATACATCAGGTAATACTCTAATGAATGTGGGCAGTGTTTGTGGTGGGCATCGGTAAAGGATTTTTTTCACGTATATCATAAAGGGTAGTTCTATTAAATTTAGGGGCAAATATATATAGTTAACATGTGGGTATACCATTAGTGTAGAGACACTCTTTTTCTCCAGTTTTTTTTCATTGTATTGGCCTTTTCAATCAAGTATTTTGTTATGGTAATATGAAACAATATAACATTTTGGTATCCGCAAGGACATTGACTGCTAAAACAGTTTTCAAAAAATTTATAAGTCATTTAAACTCTGATATAATTTATATGATTAAAGGAGTGTTTGTCAAGTAAAATCTTTTATTGCGTTTTATCATATAAAATCTATTTTAAAAAAGATGGTATGGAAAGCTGTTCAATCTTCTACTATAGGTTGTGGGCACCCTAATAACCTCCTTTTTGTTGGGTTTGTCTCCAACCCTCACCAGGATGATTAGAAAAATAAAATAATATTTAATTTAAATAATGCTTTAGAATAAACTTTTTTTTCAAACGACAGTTTGACTTCACAAGATGTTTGTCGTCTATCAGTCGTCCCGGAAACTTGCGATTGATTTTTCACTACACCCTCGCGGAAAGTGTGAAGTTTTCTTCCACACAGGCGTGTAGCTGTAACTCCTAAACACAAGCGTGGAGTTATTTTGCACACTTTTGTAGAAATAACTACACACTTCTGTGCTTATCGATTTAGAAAAAGTTAATTTCCACAAAAGAGTGCAAAATAACTCCACACCTGTGTCTAGCTTAAAGCTACACACCAGTGTGAAGGAAAGCTCCACACTTTCCGCAAGAGTGTACCTTCCTATTTGTGTAAATTTAATAAAAGTACATCTTAAAATTGTTTTCAGAGTCAACTGGAGAACTCCGCTTTTTTTATTATTATTTTTTTTTTCAATTTTATCTTTTAGACTTCACTTTGATTTTACTTTATCTTGACAGCATTTGTGTGGTACCAATGAAAATGCATGTTAAACTGGTTTCCTTGTAGCCTTTTTTTCTCTAATATTTTGTTTTTCATTAAAGTTCAGGTTTATAACTTTTTAAAAAGAAAGATTTGCAAAAAAGCTTTGAAAAGGCATTTTTTTGATTTATTTGTTTTAGTATTAATTTTTTTGTCGGGAGAAAATAAGTTAGTGACCTTGATAAAAATTTACCGTAAAGGGGCCGGGCATATTTGTAGCTATGCTGCTGCTTTTTGCTTCTCTTAATCAGCGTGGTTGCTGTTAGCGCCGTCCCGAAGAGGTCTCTGGTGGGGGGGGGGGTCGTATGTGTTTTTTGCCAATTAACAACCACACTAACAGAAATGAAAATTTTTTATTTTTTTTATTTTATTTATTAATGGCTTATTAATAGTTGTCTGGAATAAATTAATTTCGATTAGTCTATTCCAGACATCAATTACTCCTTAATTATTTTATTATCTAAGAATTATTCTAGTTGGTCATTTCCAGAAATAATTTTTATTTTGATTAGATTGGTTTTTAACAAAAATCACGCTGAATAAAAAAAGCCAAAATACAAAATTTAAAATAAAATTACAAAATGCAGAGCCATTTTCACAGCAAAGACAATAAACCCTGACAATCTTTAAAAAGAAATTTTAAATACCTGATGTAAATAACATCAAGGTTAATTAAAAAATAAAATTAAAGTTAAAAAAGTAAAAGTAAAAGTGATAAAAAAAAATTTATAACTTTTTATAACCACAAAAACTGCTCTTAATATAGAGAATTTAGTAGGATGGTTCAAAATTGCACAAAAATTATATGGTTGATTGAAAAAAATTATATGGTTGATTGTGAAGAAAAGTGTCTTGATCTTATTTTAGCATACAGATGAAATAACATCAAGTTCTTTTTCTTTCAGTAAATTTTTGTTACTTTTTTTACTTTAAATTTCCTAAAATTTAAAGTAAAAAAGTTGACAAAAGTGCAAATCACAATATTTAAACACTCAGATTCCAATCACATGTTTAAAATCAGGCCCGTAGCAAGCTTCCCAGTGGGAAAAAAGACATCTTTAGACAAATAAATGGCGTCTTTTTTATTGACTTGTTGTGTCTTTTTATAATCAGCCAAAATAAAGACGCGGAAAACATCTTTTAAAAAGACGTCTTCAAAAAAGAGGTCGAAAAGACGTCAATCGGCTGTTAATAAGGAAATCATTATTTGCTTAAGAAAATTAAAAATAATTATTGCTAATAGAACCTAACAAAAAAAAGTTTTAACCCACAGTATCGTAATTACGATATCTTTGTTACGTTCTGATTGGCCCGTTTTTTGTTTAAAAAAATACTTTTATAAAACTTTTTTAATGTAAAACGTTTTTGCATAGAAAATAATTAATCAACTATTTTCGGTAAGCGGATATATATATATATATATATATATATATATATATATATATATATATATATATATATATATATATATATATATATATATCAATTTCAATATATGTATCAATATTAATACGATTCCTAAGTAATTAATGGCTGGTGAACTTTATTTCAGATAAAACTCGGCCAATCGTTATCGCAATAATTTTGATCTTCCTATATTTATGAATGGTAATGTACTAGATGAGTCATATACCCTTCATCTTCTTTGATTAACTATTACTTCTGATCTTTCTTTTAAACCGTATATCAAATCCATTCCAGAATTAGCATCTGCTAAGGTTGCATCTCTTTATCGAGCTCGACACTTCCTTACTCTAGATTCTATTCTCTATCTCTATAAATCTCAAATCCGTCCCTGTATGGAATACTGTTGCCATATCTGGGGCAGATCTTCTATTGATGCCCTTTCTCGTTTAGACAAGATGCAAAAACGCATTGTAATCATAGTTGGACCTGCTTGAGTAGCCAATCTCCAACCACATCGTCGTGATGTTGCTTCTTTTTCTTTTTTCTACAAATACTATAATTGGCACTGCTCTAAAGCTAATTTTTCTCTTTGAACATCAGTTCTTTGGAATTTGCTTCCTTCATCTTGCTTCCCTGATTCATATAATTTGCAACCTTTTAAGCCATCTGTCAATCGTTATCTTGCTCTACGAACTTAATCTTTTCTCTTCCAATAACTTCCAAACTTATATAGTGGTTGTTCGCAGCCTTGTTGGAAGCGAAGATGTAATATATATTTTTTCTATTATAATTTATATATATATAAATTATAATATATAGTCTTTAATTCATTTACTTACTTATCTTAAGAATAATGAAATATAAAAAACGTTTAAAGTTGAGAATAATTTTGATCTTTACTAGTAAGATTCTATCGCCAAGTTTCTTGAGTGTGATCAATCATTTCTCGATACTAATGTTGCAAAAAGTAGTATATTTTTTATTATGGTTAAATGTTTAGTTTTTTTTTATAAGGGTAAATTACATAAAAAATTTTGATCTGTAATTATATACATAATGCTCACTTTACAAGTAAACATAATTTACACAAAATTTTTGAATTGCATAAAACACTAATGAATTGCTCCAATATAACTTACACTAAATTGTCCCATATCAATTATACTAGTGTTATCTTTTGAATTTAGAAATAGAAGTTATTAAATGTTGGTGGCTCATCATGCAGTGCATTTGAGAAGGGCATGCTTTTAAAGTAAGTATAATTTTACTATAAAAAGAGCATTTTTAATACCGCAATTATATTGCATACTTGATATACATAAATATATACGCTGGTCACAACAATCCAGTCAAAAATTTCTTTAAAAAGATAAATTTAGTGTTGAGAAATTCGTATTTTTTGATGTTTGATGTTATGTTTATAAAATAATTATTATATATATGTGTGTGTGTGTTATTTATTTCTTTCCCCTTTATTTTTACATACTTATCCTAACAATATTTTTTTAAGGTTAAGACTGCTTTCCTGATTCCTACAGCAAAAAAAAAAACTTTAAAATGCTGGTGATAATATTTTAAAGAGTGCATCTGATCGAAAAGAAGGTGAATGACGTCAACTGTTCGAAAATTCGATTCTTGGAAATTAACAAATGGAAGAAGAAGTTTACAAAGTTGTAATATATAAAACTCAGCACAATTATATTATTAAAAAATTTAAATGATTTATTATTTTTTTCTTATTCTCAAGAAGTTCTGTAAAAACATAAATTTGAACCTTACGTTTAAGTAAAGCCATGTTAGAACACGTATTTTAGACGTCGAAATAAGAACGTCTAAATTAGGTTATTAAAAGACGTCATTCGGCGTTTCCATTTTGCACTAGTTCTGAACGTCCTAAATTCACGTCTTTTAGACGTCTAAAAACACGTCTTTATTCCGTCCTAAAAAGACGTCCTAATTACGTCTTAAAAAGACGTCATCTGGCGTTGCCATTTAGAACCAGTTCTGGACGTCCTAAAAAGACGTCCTTTCGACGTCATATGGACGTTTCCGTGCCCGCTGGGTAGTTAATGGTTTCAAAAGATGGTTTTAACAAAAAAAAAATACAACTCAAGAAAACGATTCCTGGCGCTACAGAACTTTTACTACACGAAAAAAAGCTGAACAGATGATAGTTAATTAAACTGGAATTAAAAGCCGGAACTGTAGCACCATCCAAATAATATACTTAAAGCGTATAAATTTCCGATTAGATTAAACGTTATCCTTAATAACAGATAGATAAACGTATCAATTTCAGATTAGATAACCTGTTAAAGTTCCCTTAAGGAATGCGTATCATAGATATTGTGGTCACGAGTTTTGATCTCTTGCAGTCAGCAATAAAGCATCAACAAACTTGAGTGCTCTACTTTTCTCAACAACTCCTCTTTATGTTTTAAATATCTTGTATCTTATTTATATATTATTTTAAAGGTTGAGAATGAATTGAGAGATTTTTATTTGTAAGGAAGGTTGTTCCAAGTTTTAATGCATTGGTATTTTATAAAATTATGTTCGTAATTACGAAAGCAGTGTTCAGAATTGATAATGTCGCCCGGCGGCAAAGTAACTTTCTGCCGTAAGGCTGGCTTTTTAGGGAGGCAGAAACTGTTGTCGAGTTGTTGAGGTGTATTAAAATAAGTTTTTTCCCATATTTCAAGTTTATTAGTGGCAGATAACCGTAATATCATATATCTCAAGAACAAATCCGAATCCGCAGTTCCATCTGTTGTATCGAGAGTGTTGGCGATTAAGGGTGGCAGTTTTTCTTTTAAAATATCAACAAAAGTTTTTTGAGTACTTTATAACTTTCTTTCATGAATCATAAACATTGCTGGTATTAAAGAAATTTCTGTAAAACAAACTCCTCGCATAAGAAGAATAGATATATAAAACTCTCCAAAATTAAATGTTTTGTCATATGTCAACAATTGCGTATAACTTTTTCCATGAGTTAGTAAAAGTTCATTCATATGAGAAAGTAGATCTTTCCGCCAACAAGTGCCATGTGGAAACGATGAAGCAGGTGATTCATCGCCGACATACTGCACCACATTTTAAGGATATTTAGACGAGTCAATAGCTATAAAAGAAAAACGTAATTATTTCATCGCTTCTTGGATAATGCAGTAAAAACTGTACAATTTTATAACGAAGAATATTAAACACTCTAAAGATTTTTTTTACTAACTACTTTATTTTACGTAATATGTAAAAGGAAGTAGTTAGTAAAAAAAATTCTAAAAAACAAAAACTTACAGATTTTTAAATATTATTTAAAATTTTTTAAATCTTTAACTAATAAAAAGGTAAACAAATGTATTTCTTTTGCAAAAACAAAGGCATTTAGTAAAATAAAGAAAAGCCGGGATTACCAAATATGAAATAGCTGTCCCAAGACAGATGACGAATAACAATCAAGGCTGTTATTTTAAGTTTTGCAATCTAGTAAATGTTTAAACGTCTTTATTAAATATTTTATTTCTGAATATTTGTTATATATACGTTATATATACGTTCTGAATATTCGTTATATATTCGTTATGTATACGTTATATATTCGTTATATATTCATTATATATTCGTTTTATATTCGTTATATATTCGTTATATATTCGCTATTTATTCGTTATATATACGTTATATATACGGGAAATTTTTTTAGTGGCTTTCACAATGGTTTAGTCTAGTTAATGAAGAAAAGAAATTAAAACTTTTTTTTTACTTTTGCAATTTTAAGTATTCTTTAATGCTTGGTGTGTAACGTAAAAACTTATTGGGGGTCGCTTAGTGACACGGGTGTCCTAGGTTTGTTATCCTAACATTTACATGATATAAAATTTTAGTTGAAATTTAAAAATTTAAGTTAATGTCAAAAATTATTAAAAAAAAAAAAAATTATATGACTTTAACTTAGAATGGCACTGTATGCAGGTAAGTAATAAAACAAACAGCTACCTCCTAACTGTATTTATGGCCGTTTCTCAACATATGTATGACTCACAAGGCGGCGTTTAGATGTTTATTACTTGCAAATAAGAGAATAAAATTGAAAGTAAGTTGTTTACTAAACTAAAGCTTCTTTATTTTTTATTTTATTTTAAACTTGCTATTTAGTAGTGTATTTAGTGTATGTTTACTCAGGTGGTTAAATACTTCTTTTTTGACTTCCTATCAAATATTATATTTTTCACAAGCATCTTTAAACGACGAATAATAGTCAGAATCTAAATCATCTATATATTAGGTTACTCATTTCAAAAATTGTTCTAACAGTTTGCCCGGTGGGAATTCGACTAGCGAATAGCTAGCTATAATCGTACCAATAAACACAGCGATATTTGGCCGCAATTTGGTTACGAGGACAGCTAACTTGATAAGCTAAAGATCCACTGGCTATTGTAGCTAGCGTAATATCGTAATAAAACTGCTGTTTAAAACAATTTGATATGTAGCTATCAACCAGCTATAGATGTTTAGATATTTTGTGGCTAACTACAAAGCTACGATATGTAGCCATCAACACATTGCTACAAAATCAAAAAGTTCAATTATTCTCACAATTATGATTCAACACTCAAAATCAAATTTTTAAAGATATTAAAAGCATTAGAAAAAAATAAAATAGGAAAAAAAAAATTGTTTGAAAATCGCTATAAAGCTAACTAGTTGCTAGCTCATTTACCACCGGGTGATAGCACTTTTTGAATTTTTCGCTATTAAAAAATACAAACACATATGGGTTTAAATAAAAACATGTTAAACTCAAGTATATGACTAAGCGATAAGGCAACTAAATTTTTCTTTCTGCCCTGGTTATGTAAACTTTTTCTTTATGCATACTTTATATATATATATATATATATATATATATATATATATATATATATATATATATATATATATATATATATATATATATATATATATATATATTTATATATATATATATATATATATATATATATATATATATATATATATATATATATATATATATATATATATATATATATATATATACAGGGGCTATTCTAGCGTTTTCAATAGCGTCGACCGTATTTAAGCGCCGATTTTACGTTTTTTTTTTTACGGCAAATGTTGTTTTTTTTTGTTGCGAAAAACGCCAATTTTCCGCTAAACTTTTCCGGGATGGGGGATGTACCACCGCCTAAATTTTTTACCTAGAATAGACTCTAATATTGACCAAGGTCACTGATTGTCTGATTCCCTGAGTAATGGTGACGTTAGGCCTACGTATCATTCGGAAGTTATTTTATTTTAAATGCCTTAATTACTTAAAAAATATTTTTATAAATAAAGTGAATTTGTTTATGCGTATAAACAAATTCACTTTATTTATACTTTATTAACTTACAGAGTTTCTATACTGTGTGATGTAGTAGTTAATAAATTAGATCGTGGTTTCTGCGCTCCGAATGCAAGTCCTGTTGGAGTATTTATATATATATGCCCCCTCCTCCTTTTATAAGAGACTCGAGAGTAATATAGTTTATAAAGAAATTTTTTAATGAAATTAACTTTTTTTAACATTTGTTTAAAGTCATTTAAATTTTTAAGGTCGTACCCCTAGAAAAAAAAAAATTTTATATTATTATCAAATTGTTTTAATATCAATTTTTCAATACTAGAAATAATTACGAATTTAAAAAGTATAATTTTATAACAAAACAATTTACAATCAGCCTTTGGAAACATATGATTTCAGGAATCCACTTGGAATTTGTGAAGCTTGTAGAACAATTCTAAGAAGAAAAGATGCAGGAAAAGATGCACTACTTTCATTTATTTTTGATTTTTCATACATCACAGTGAAACCACCAACTCTTGGCAAGACTGCTGTTGTCTTATTTGCCCCTTTGGGCACTCAAAGCTCAACCAAAAAGGCTCTCTCTCAACTCCCTACCATGAAGGAGAGAAGCTTCGAAGAAATGGTGACTGCCTAAGCTATATTAGACGTGGACTTACTCATTCCTGCATACCATCCACATTTAGAGAAAATATGAGACTTTTGGCAGCTCAAGATACAAATACTGCAGAACAAATTGCTTCAAGAAAGGAATCATCTCCCAATGACACAATACGGATATCAAGGCCTGGAGGAGGCTCTCCCTTACAAGTTACACCAGGTATTTTCATTTCTTATTGTTTTGACTGCATTGTTTCTTAAATTTATTTTAGCTTTGATTTAAACATCCAAAAGCAAACTTGAGATTATTTTAACAAGCCTGCTCTCTATTGAGTTTTCAACTATTTTATTCAATTTACTTGTAGATCCTTCAAGTGCAAGAAAACTTTTTGATGTTTCTCCCATTACTACAGAAAACCTTGTTCATGTCCAACAAAATATTAGATTGTCTAACTTTGGAATGAAAAAATTAGCATCCACCTTGAACTAAGTTGCCAAGGCCAAAGTGGTAGAACCAAATATTCGGTCAAAATTTGACAGCTTTGGAAAAACTCTCCTAGAGTTTTTCCAAAGTAGTATAGTACCTAAAGTACAATACCCACGAGAGAAAAGCAAGCAAATTCAGAAGGAGGTCATCTGGTCATTCAATGCAAATCTATGCAAGACATAAATGATGAAGTATTGATGTACAGAAAATTTTTTCAGCCGTCACTTTTTTAAGTTTGGTATAGATGGTGGATGTGGGTTCCTAAAATTCACTCTTGGTGTGATTGTAGATGAATCTTTTAAAGAACTGCATTCACCTCCCCAAAAACAATGACTTTTCACACAAATGCAGGCCAAAGATACCAGTGTTAGACAACAACTAATCATTGCTATTGCTGAGAATCTACCAGAGTCATATGAAAGCCTCAAGCAAATTTGGTCACTCATAAATCCAAATCAAATTGGTTTTGTTGTTTCTTGTGATTTGAAAGTTGTAAACCTTCTCCTTGGACTTCAATCATACTCCAGTTCCCATCCTTGTTCATAATGCAATGTGGAATCAAAGAACTTAAAGTTATGTGGTGAGAGAAGAATAATTGGATTACTCAATGCCAAATATCATGATTTCAAATCATCAGGAAGTAATCATAGGAAGGCAAAGGTCTATGTCAATGTTGTTCATGAGCCCATTATGACAGACTTATCATAGACATTCTTCTCCCAATGTAGCTGCACTTGCTTCTTGGTGTAACCAACTATTTGTTCAAGGCTATAAAAGACTTGTGGCCAAAGGCAGAAGAATGGCCTAATAAACTGCATATTCATTGAGGGCAGTTTGCAGGCAATGCTAGCAAAAAACTTTTTTCAATGTGGACCTTTTACAGCAGCTTATAAATCAAATGCTGCATTTCAAGTAGTGAAAATTGCCAACACACTGAGGAAATTTAATGATGTTGTATAGAGTGACATTAAAAAAATATATATATATATATAAATACAATTTTAGTTTTTTTATATTATGTCTTTTTTATAGGGGAACCACCATAAATTTAATTCTTACTCACTTATTAACACTTATTATATATATATATATATATATATATATATATATATATATATATATATATATATATATATATATATATATATATATATATATATATATATATATATATATATATATATATATATATATATATATACATACATATATATATATATATATATATATATATATATATATATATATATATATATAAATATATATATATATATATATATATATATATATATATATATGTATATATATATATATATATATATATATATATATATATATATATATATATATATATATATATATATATATATATATATATATATATATATATATATATATATATATATATATATATATATATATATATATATATATATATATATATATATGTATGTATCAGTACATTTTGACACTGGAGCATTTCATTTCGATAATTTAAAAACTCTATTTATTGAATAATAATTTTCATATTTATGATGAAAAATTTTGTTAAATATTATTGTTGTATTTAATCAGACCAGTATAATAGTTAATTTGGCTATTTTTTTTAATTCTAAAATATTTTAAGTCGATATAGAAAGGTTTCAATAATAATTTTTGGACACACGTAGAATGTATATGTAAAATAAATTATGTGGATATTAGCTAATTTAAGTTACTACAATAACTGTTTTAAATTGACATATTTATTATTTTTATTGACTGAATTTATTATTTTTAATTGCCAAAAAAAATAATCACGTTTTTGAATTTTTTTCCCAACAATAAAAAATTGTCATCAAACTATAAATTAACGGCATAATTTTTTATTGAAACAAAATTATTTTTATTATATAAAACATTTGTCTCTTCAATGCAATCAGAGTTTATAGTAAAAGTTTAGATACCATTTTCAATATTTATAAAGAGCAAATTGCTCTTTATAATCCAGGCGTGGATGAGGCATTTTTTGATGTTTGAGACATGGAGCAAATTCCAAAAATTAAATGTTTATACTTATATCAATTAAGGATGTTTGCAAAAAATTTCATTGATTGAAGGCTGGGAACAAAAAAAGCCCTAAAATTTTAGCTACACCTGCCCCAAATCTGAGAGCAATAAGCTGATAAAAAATATTTTTTCTACTATTCTCAACCAAGTTTCATATTCATTGATAAAATTTAAAACTCACACAATAATTTTTTAGCATTCAACAATAATGGCCATATAAAATTTGCAGCCCCCTCAAACAGAGGGGGGTTCAAACTTTTTATTGTCATAGTTTTTGAACGCCAAAAGACTTTTGTGTGAATTAGTTATTATAGGAATAAAATTACACATGGGCAATGGGGGGCCATGGTGGCTCAAAAAATTGAGGGAGCATGGGCATTTTTTTGCAGGCCCTAATATGGTTGAAAACACGCACCATGTAACGTCAAATTGGCTCAAATTTTTTTCCTTTCTCTTTTTTCATACGGGCCCTTAAACATAGCCGGGTCCCAGGACAATATACCCCTGATCCCCCTTCTCTACGTCCATGGGCATGGCGGCCATGTTTTATACTTACACCAGTGAGTATAATATAATTAAAAATATAAATAATAGTCAAGAATATTCATTTAAAAATATAATAATTGGAATAAAAAAATCGGTACCAAAAAACAAGATATATTAAAAAAAAGCATTATGTAATATTGTTTATAACGCTTATAATACATATCACTTTCAGAATATTCCAGCGTGGTATTATTTGTTATTGTCAATGACGGTTAGTTATTATATGTCTGCAAAAATTGTATAATTTAGTAAAAGGTTGAAGAATAAAAGAAACTATGGCTTTGACACTTTAATTTTGAGCAAATTGAAAAGGTTTAAAAACTTTTAAAATTAAGAGTTTAATATATTAAATTGAAAGCGTAGTAGATAAAGTTAACTAAATACTTAAAATTATGGCATCATTTTTCTTATCAAAAACTAAAGGTAACTAAAGAAAACCATTGTAAATTAGATACTGTCTTGAAATGGGAAAAAGAATTTAATTTAAAGTTTGAGTATGATACCGAGGGAATTGATGATGTAAGATTACGCTGATTGCTTTGTAAGCAATATGAATCTCGTATTAAAAACATTAAAAAATTTTCTTTTTTGTGGATTCGCCTTAGAACTCCGTCGATTAAAGAAGACAGCGTAAGAAGTCATTGCAACAGTAAAAAATGTAAGGAAGCACATCTCATCAATTATCGGAGTAAATCGGTTACGAAAAGTTTTAAAGAATATATAATTTTAAAAAATATATAAATATAGAATATATAAATAAAAACACTGATATTAAAAAAGGGCTACTAGAAATGGGTGAAAAATATCTTGACTCACTTAAGGGGAAATTCGATGCAGTTTGCTACTTGGCAAAAAAAAAACGTTTAATATTCCGATTTCCCTGATTTGCTGGAGCTAATTAAAAAAACGGAGTTGATCTTAGTAGTAGTTACTCAACTAATCGAGCTGTTGGTATTTATACAGATTGCATTGGTAAACTTGCTAAAGATTCTTTCAGAGATGATTTTATTACGTCGAGATATTATTCAATTTAAGTAATAGCAGTTGTGATATTGCTACACTCGAACAGAAATTAGTATTTGTGTTGTAAAGTACATAAATAAATAACAATATGAATAATTGTTAAATATTGTATATATATATATATAATATATTATTATAATATATATATAATATATATATATAATATATATATTATATATATAAATATTATAAATAGGATTGGAAATAACACTAAATCCATCTACAAAGGAAATGTTTTGGAAGAGAGGACACGAGGTTCCTATTGTTAAAAATGTGCTCACCAACAGGGAGATATTCTCAATATGTAGTAATCTGGTTGCTAATTTACCAGTTGCTGGATGGTTAAGACTCGCATGCAACTTTATGAAGAGATGTACAAACGAAGTAGGTTGGGATGAACTTATTACGAATAAGTACATAAATGAAATGATGCAGGAAATCGTGGATAAAGTTATCAAATGCGATCCAGCAAAAGGCGTTTTGAATATCAAACCAAATGCATCTCTAACTGTATGATGTGATTCAAGTTCGCTGGCAAAAAAACAGAAGATGCAACTTTGTTTCGACCAAAGTCTGATGCAATGCATATCACCGTGGCTGAATTGGATGCATGCATTGAAGTTCTCAATATGGCATTGAAATGGAACTCAAGTGATGTCTCTGTCAAAACTGATACTCATAGTTGGTTAAATTCTGAATTGACCGTGACAAACCTGTAAAATGTGCTGGTCAATGTGAAATGCTAATTCGACGAAACTTCAAATATTTGGAAAATTGGTCGAGGATTATGCTATAAAAGTAAATGTTACATGGGTGAAGCCTAAGCATATGACGCCGTGTACACAGCGATGGTTAAAAGGAAGTATAGTAGCACTGCATAATGGTTAAAAATCTGATGTTGAAGTCAACGCACAAAAGTTGCCGCAACATTTTTCACATCTGCAGCATCGTCGTGTAGACAAAAACAAAGTAGATATAACAACTGATGACGATTACAATCCGACACTGGTTAAATCTCCCAAAACGAACTTAAAACACGTCGCAATCGAAGATCCAAGTTCTCAGATAAATTCCCTGGACGATGGCAAAGATGACACCAAATAGTATGCACCACGCTGATCAAAACTATCCAACAAACTGTGAGACAAAGTTACAGCCTGTTTGGTTCACTCGCTATAGGAGAAGACTACTTCCTAACCGGAAGTGTCACGATTATGTATGAGCTTGTGTTGAGCTGGGGGAGATGTTGTGATTTTAATGTGCTCATTAATTTGTCAATAAATAGCTTTGCTAGTTATTTACAAAAGTCACACGTTGCATATTTTTATTATTATAACGTTTTGTATAACGACCACTAATTGTTGACAAGAGTCACAAGTTGAATTTTTAAATACTATATATAGTGAACAAGTTTGTTGTAAAAACGTTTAGATTTTTGATAAGTAATAAAAATATTAAAAACATAATGGCTTCTAAATGCGTTCAACAACATAAATATTTTAAAAAAAAATTTTTTTTACAAACTTCAGATTCAAAAATTCAATTTTTTTCTTGATTTTGCATGAAATTCCTCCATTAGTTTTACAGCACATTCAGCAATTTGGTTAAATCTGGGAATGTCAATTAATGACTCCTCTACTGATCAACGGGTCTTTACACACTTAATAACTTTCTTTCATTTTATTCTGATGAGTAAAGAAAATAGTACATCAAGAGAGGTTTAATTGTAGTGTTGGAATGAAACCAAGCATTTGCCCACTCTTTGCAGATAAAGTTTCATGACGGAGCAAGGATGCTGCTGTATCAGCATCTCTGGTATCAGAAAGAATGCTGTAAGAGCATTTATCACACGTGAGTTCCATTTTGTCTGATGCCAATTTTGGGAGTTTCTTTCAGCTGATTTGAGGCTAATGTGAAGTTGTTTTATAATGGCAATATGCCTGACATAGGTCAAGTAGGAACTTGAAACCATCTTGCAATCAAGGGTTCTAGCCAGTGTTAACATCATCGGTTGCAACAAGGAAGGATTCAGCCTGAAGAGGAACATAATTTTTTGTTAATTTTTAAATGAAGGAGTATTTGAGTTCTAGTTTGTTTTCGTTGGCTATTGAATAAAAAAATTCATGACATGTTTCAAAAGGAGGTCAAGTACATGGTGCTGACAGCCAATATATTGTGGTTTCTGAAAAGCCCTTGCTCATAACATAATCCTGAATGAGCTTTACAATCCCGTTCAAATAACTTATATTTACTGGGGTCGTGTCACAGAATATCACGCAAATATTTATATAAGCATTGTATTCATTAAATAGCTAATGTAGTTCCTTGTGAATGGCTGGAGTTCCTTGTGAATGGCTGCGGCACATCTCAGATTAGTTCTCAGACTTTAGTTATCATGTTTTTCAACAGAACTACATAGTATTCTTCATATTGAACTAACATATTAGAACTAGGATTAGTAGTAAATGAAACTTTTTCAAAGGATTTTAATTAAATTCATGTTAACGCTGATGAGCGGAATTGATATAAAGATTCCAAAATAGTGTTTTTTAGATTCACTATAACGGATAGTCAAAAGGTTTTGAAAATTGAATATAAAAAAGAAAAGTTTCTATTAAATTTATATTAAAAAAACCTGAAGCAAAAAAAAATATACCATATATTCGACGCGTAAAATGCGCGCTTACGCGTGTTAAAGGTGACAAAAAATTTTTTTAGGGTCTTCAAGGCAAACACATAATTTTGATATACTACTCTATTTGATATTTTTATAAAAATGGTTTTGAAAGGATGTTGATACATAGAGAAAAAATACTATATTTTTTCACATTAAATTTATTATTTACATTACAATTAATTTAAAAACTTCATCTGGTAACGGTTTTCCTCTAATGTTACTAGAAAGTAGTGCATCTGATTCATCATTGTATTTAACCTTAATATTTTTCCCGTGTGCTTAAGTCTAGAATTTCTTATCTGTTTATTTAAACTCTCTAGTGCATCTTCCAAATATACCCCGATTGGCAAAGGTAATTTATTTGATATAGAAGAACTATGCAGTAGCAGTTTATGTACAGTAAGAGGCATAACATACTAGTTGTATAAACTGACTATACATTTACCTGTTTCAGTGCAGTATAAATCTAATTTATTGATATTAATAGGATATCCGCAAGATATGGTTATAAGAATATTATGCAATCTTTTGATTATATCACAATCAACTTAAGTAATTTCAGAAAAAACTTCACTATTTTTAAATGCTCTTCTTGCAGTGTTGCCGTCATTTGTGTTTCCAGACCCAGTTTTAGGCATATCAACGTATAGGCTTAACTGTTCTCTGAAGAGTACCTGAATCTCTTATTTTTTTAAGTCTACAGATAGTTTTTCCTCAATTGTTTTTAGATTATACTTTTTAATTTCAATTTTATAACTCAAATGAAGAATGAACTCCAAGCATTTTATCCAGCAATCCAAAACTGAAATTCCAAACCCCAAGTCTGAGTCATTCTCAGTTTTTGCTTTTAATAAATCAATATTGTTCATTTCCTTGGGTTTAGCATTGCACACATTGCAGGATTGAGTGGATTTTGTCTCTGTAAGTGCGCTAACTACTTTATTATCAAACATTGTAAGATCAATCCTATAGCTGATATTAAATGTCAAAATTCTTCCTGCAATATTAAAAACTTTGCAAAACGTCTTTAAGGTATTTATTTGATTTTTTAGATCTGATTTTTCTTCTCTGGATAAAATTGGACTCTCTTTTTTATATTGTAGATAAAGAGGTCTACAAAAGTGACAGCTTGAAGGATTTTCATTTTTCCAAATTTCGCCATCTTCTACTTTGAGCAATAAAGGCACAAAAGCTATACTGAAAAGATTTTCTTCATGCTTAAGTTCTATACTTGCGTTGCTTGTATCATATTTCTGTTTATAAATACTTTGGCTTGATGCTCCATCAAAACCAATCTTTCCATATAAAACTCCAAATATTTCATCACTTTGACCAAAGTTAGGCATATCAATCATTTCTGTTATTCTACTCACAGTGTGATCTAACATGCTTTGAAGAATACACTTTGCAGAAATTTCAGAAAAATTTATATTCTCAGGATAGCATTTCAATTTTTCCACAAAAATATTGTGCAAGGTAGGATAAATATGTACGTTGTGTACAAGAGCTGAGTTTCTGATTATTTGATATTGTTTATCGCTGAATCAGTATTCATTTTTAATGCAAGAGCATCCTCTACACTCATGTTAATGGGAAAGGTTTTATCCAAAGTTTTATCAACTTTTTCTATCTCTTAAACATTAGATATATTGTTTTTTAAAACAGAGGTTTTTTTTTTCTTTCTCCAGCAGCATTTTCACTTTTTGCAGAAGCTAAAAATAGAGCTTCATGATGTTCAGTGGCTAGTTTTTTTCTTTTTTTTTCTTTTGCTTCTCTCTCCAAGAACACTCCATTGTTTATGGGGCCTTCCAGAACCAAAATGGCTATTTTTATTGTTCATAAGATTTCTTTGAAGCCAACGATTTTCTTTTTGTATAAACGTATCATAGTTTCGTCCACATTGTTTTAGTTTTTTCTTCACCTTTGAAATAAATATAACTAAAGCAAGCTTAACTTAATTTCGTATATGCGTATTTATTTATTTTATATATATATATATTCATATATATAACTTTATTTCATATATATATATATATATATATATATATATATATATATATATATATATATATATATATATATATATATATATATATAGTTTTCTTTGCGAATTTCAGTATTTTTTATTTCATTAAGTAAATCCTTCCATAATTTTAATTTATCAACTCCTAATTCACGTATATTTGGGATAAGATCTAATCTTCTCATTGTTATCGTTTTTAAGAACCATTAATATAATAAAGCTAATATATTAGACACATTTTAAATTACATTACATATTTTTTTACTTTACACAGTTTCAAATTTTATCTTGTTATGACTTTTAACAGTTTTCACATTGTTACATCCTGTAATAACACATATTACTTAGTTAACTTTATATTACATGTAATATAAAGTTAACTAAGTAATATGTGTTATTACAGGATGTAACAATTTGGTATTTCTTGAAATGGGAAATACCAAAGTTTTTCAATTAAGCTTTTTCAAACATGTTGTACTTATCAAATAATAAATTGTTCTTTAAAATTGTCAATAAATATTTTAACAAACTTTTAAATAGTATATAATGACAAAAGCACGTTTTTTAAAACATTATTTTGCATTTATGATTTAAAAACTATATTAGAACAAGTTCTACAAGCAAGAAACTTAACTTTAAGTTTCCTGCCAATTTCATTTGTTTTGATATAATAAAGTTCTTAGCAAAATGGCGGAAAACAAGGTTTTTATAAAATCATCAACATTTGTTTTTCTTTAATAACTTCCAATACCGCAGGAGACTGCAGTATTCCTTTTACATTCATAAAGTAGAAATGTTAATTATCTGGAAAATATATATATATATTTGTATATAAACAAAAAAAAATACAATTATTTTCTACTTTTTTTTAGAGAAGTCTTTGTTTTTAAACGAAAAAATCAGACTTTTTTTTTTCTTTTTAGTATATTTAACACGTTCACGCCGGCGTGTACCACTGGTGGTACACACTAGACTGTCTCATTGGGCGGCGTGTACCACTGGTGGTACACACTAGACTGTCTCATTGGGCGGCGTGTACCACCGGTGGTACATTCCGCCCAATGAGACAGTCTAGTGTGTTATTACAGGATGTAACTATCAAAATATTTTTTTTAAAATAAATATACACTTTTATTTAATTTTCAAGTTCTCTAATTTAGTTAAATAAAAACCTCACATTTTTCAGATTTCTTTAAAAATAATATCAAATTTTTTCACTTCTTTTAAATAAAAGCTTCATGAAAAAATTATTTTTACTTTTGAAATAAATATCATTGTCTTTTAATATTATCTAACAAAGGGCACCTAATTTATAAAAATGTTGTGAGGGGTTTATTGCCATTTTTTTGTTGTTTTGAGTCAGTGCAGCGTGATGATATAAATAATAATTTTTTGTTTTCTTTCAGATCTCATATCTTTTTACATTTAAAATTTAAGTTAATTTAAAATTTATTACAAAAATATAAAAATATTTAGCACTATCCAGAATTTTAACTATTAATTCTCAGAATAACTCTCAGTAATTGCATTAATTAGTTCTCATGTTTTTAATATTATTAAAAGTAAAAGTATAAGCAATTTTTAGCATTATATATTAGTTAGATGTAATACAAATACAAAGAATAATTATAAATAGATAAAAATATATATAAAATTTAAATAAATAGAATAAATATCTTATTTAAATTTTGTATTATCATTTGTATTATATAATATGGTTATATTTTTTTTTTTAAGAAAAAATGGAGTGTTTTAACAGTCTCTCCTACAGTGTAAAAAATCTCCTTTATCAATTGCCTATGAATTGTGCAGAAATATGTAAAGAAATATCGTCTGAGATTCATAATAGTGAAATATTGCAGGGTATCATATATTTTCTAGTTGATAGTTGGACACTTGTAAAAAGAAAAAATAATATATGGAATTTTTCTACAATTATATGTCTTCCTACTACTTGTGTGTTAGAAGCAGTGGAGGTATTTAATGGGGAAAAACTTTTTTGTCAGGTTAGTTTACCCAAAACAATTTTTAAGAAATAAGATTGTGACTTTAGTACATTTAAAATCTATATTAGGGTGTACCAAAAACATACTTTTTTTTTTCTCCACGATACCTCTTCATTTTTTCCCATTCTTTGAAGTCCACTAAGGATAAAAATCTCGTATCCCGGAAGTGACAGCTGTAAAATTTGAAAAAATTGATTTTTTCAAAAATTAATGTCAGTTATATCCTAATAATATTAAGTGATCTTAAATATACAAGAATATTACAACCGAGTTAATCAAATCTTTGCTGTAAACTATGACATTACTGCTTCGAACTGAAGTTTTTTTTTTTGAGTTTTTAGCATCTTCACAACTTTCCCTGTTCTGATTTATTTTCTAACAACACATGTTGGAAGTACACATTTCTTATCTGTAGAGGATCTTACTGATGATAAAATAAATGGAATAGGAAAGCACTCTATGTAAAGTTAGATAAAGGCTAGTCACTCAAAACAAGGTGGGTAAGGCGGAGCACATCAGGTTTGATCAGAATGGGTAACAGGTTGAGTTATTTTTAAACAACATTAAAAAAGAGGCCCTGAAGTTCCTCTAGAAGCCATTGACCACATAGATATTTAACACAAGGACTAGAAGAAGCTATGTGAACTAGTTGTCTTATAATTATTAGGAGATGTACCACTATTTCATTTTTATCAATCTGCCTTCCATTAATAGTTAAATTATATTATGTTTTTTTTTTTTTTTTTTTTTTTGGGAGACGGGGGTATAAAGCGACGAAGTACATTTTAGAATTTTTTAAAAATATTATTAACATTAATAACAATTCATTCCTAAGGTGTATGGTAAACACTTCATACCTGCTTGCCTATAGGATGATTAAGAATTTATCCAGGAAAAAACAAAAGCTTCCAGTTATTTGCAGGTCAACAGAACTTGCTGAGCAGGGTTTCAATAGGTTGTGATTCATGCTTATAGGAGCTTACTGAGCTGGTAGGATAGCTGAGATTCATGTTGGAATGAGTTGAAATGGCAGATAAAGCGAAATGACTGTTAGACATTTTACCTATTTAAAAGGTTTTTGAAACTTATTGAATGTGTCAATAGCTGCGCAGAAAAAGTTATCCTGTTGATCCAGAACTTTGTTAGAGATAACTGATTGGGCAACACAATAAAGAACTTAATATTGGTACCAGAGAACTAGAAATAAAACTCTAGAAATAACCAGAGAAATAAAAATCTTAAACTAGAAATAAATGACTTGCATTTGTCACCAAAAATTGCACTTTTTTTTGAAAAATGAATTTTTACAGATAACACTTTTACTGGAACAAAAAGTATTTTCTTTTTATAATTTTAGCCTATTAGGACATTAGGGAATGGGAAAAAATTGAGAGGTATTTTTTTTTGAACACCCTAATAAATAAGTAAATTCTGTTTTTGCAAAGATCTTTTTAATAACAATTTCATGTAATTTAAGTATACTCATTAAAGTTTGATGTATTATAATAAATTATGATTTGAATACTTTACAACACTGGTTATAACCAGTGTTGTAAAGTATTCAAATTACTAGTATTTTAAATACCTATTTTCAATACTTTTGAAGTGTTTGTATTTTGTATTTCAAATACTTTTCCCATCAAATATTTTGTATTTGTATTTAAAATACAACTTTGGATGTATTTTGTATTTTCAGTGTTTTTCAAAATACAAAATACCTTTTAATTTTTTTTATTTAAAGTTTCTTCAGCTGATAATATTCAAAGTATAGCTGATTATAGGCCCTATTAATAAACGAAAGCAAGTGCTTTCACTTAGCGTTCTTTGGACACCAGGGAAGACTCGATGGAATTTAACTTATGATGCCATATGTTGACTTTTGGAGCCAAGAGTAATTGAAAAGCTCCCCCATATCATAGATGCATTGAAACTTTATTTAGATTCATTTCGCTTTATTCATTGGAACTTCAAACTGTTTTAAACCAGTTGAGATGGAGGTATTGGAAGAATACAAGCAATTTATGAAACTACTGCTGATGCTCTAGACAAACTGCAAGGGAAAAATTAATTATTTCCTGGGATTTCTGATGCCGACGGTTCAGCAAGTTCGAAAGAAACTTGTGTTGCTTGTTCCAAAAGTTATCCACAGTGGAAGTTTAATTTAGGGATTGATTTCAAATATTGATCAGCAGTTTCCACATTTGTTTGAATACAATAGTTCATCCAAAATCTATGCGATTACAGCTGCATGTCATCCTTATTTGAAACTGCGATGGGTTCTAGAGGAAAAGAGACTAGTTTAAGAAAGCCTTAATAGAAGAGGCACAAAAATCAGTTAGGCTAAGATCAGTTGTTATCACAAAAATCAGTTAAGCTCTGCAGATGCTGACAAAGCATCAACATCTGGAACTGATGATTTTTTTTGAATTCAAATCACTAAATCTGCATACAAACAAGTCAGTCAACAGTCACTATTGAGTGTTTACAATATCCAGTTGTTAAGAAACTTTTCAAAGTTGTTAATGCAACTGTTTCATCATCTGCTCCAGTTGAATGCCTATTTTCTAAAGGAGCCTTAACTGCTGTGCCACGCTGCAATCTGTTATCAGATAAACATTTTGAACAATTGTTTTGTGCTGAAAGCCAACCAATATTGAAATTAGATTTCTTTAGCTGTAATAACTTTAGCTGCTTTAAAGTACTTTTAATTGCACTTTTTTTATTTTTTCTTTCAAAAGTATTTTGTATTTTAAATACTTCTATATTGAGTATTTTGTATTTTATATTTTAAATACCTTCGCTTAAGTGTATTTTGTATTTGTATTTTAATTACTTTTTTGCTCCAGTATTTGTATTTGTATTTTAAATACTTTTTTGAAAGTATTTTTTACAACATAACTTTGTAACTGAAATTGGAACCACCAATAGTTTATACATATTAGTATCAATGGTTTAATATGTTATCTTCAAATATTTATAGTATATAATTTATATATTTATTAATATTACAAGTCAAGTAACTATGATCTGTTTTATAAAATGAACCAAAAAAAGTTTTGGTTTTATACAAAATTTTGTTAAATTGGGCAAGCTACTTGGCAAATATGATTTGCAAAGACCCAAATAAAAAACATATATTCAAGGTCTCTTCTGCCTTGGGGAGGTTAAAACAGTAAATGAAAAGAATGATAATAAAGGATATTTTAACTGTACCAATGACAACTGTTATATATGTTATAAAGTCAAAAAAAATGTTGGCAGCTTGTTGTAGTTTAGAATTCAAATATATCTAAAAATGTAATTCTCATTTGTCTAAAAAGTCCAATTTTATGCCATTTTAAAATGTTTTTAAATTTTTCTAACACTTTGTGTTGATCTAAGAATAACAGTATATAAGACCATTAGACCCAACTATCTAAAAATGCAAATGCACGAAACTACACATAGTTTTATATTTAAACTAGTTGTAATAATTTAATATACAAATATTGAAATAAATTTTAAATAAAAACCAACGTCGAATACTCTTCATAATTAATTAGAAGACAAAACATTAGTACTTACTTAACAAGACAAAACATTAGTACTTAAAAGTACTTACTTTAAAAAGAAAAAGAAAATGAAACACTTTTTGCCAAAGCCAAACGAAATGGACTTCAATGAATCCAATATAGCTGTTACATGGAAAAAATGGAAACAAACTATGCAGTTGTATCTAAAAGCAGCAATGACAAATAAATCAAAATAAAGAAAGTTGTTCTTATGAAAACAAGATGTCAATGAATCATTTGATTATTTGTAAGTGATTAAAAAAATCTGTCTCAAACATGCGAGTTTAAAAACATTCAAGATGGTCTAATATTATACAAAATAATTGAAGGATTTGGATTTTGTCTGATTTGATAATCAGACAAAATCCAAAATAATCTTCTTAAAAAAGGAGCGGATTTAACTTTAACTAAAGTGATTGACATATGCAGAGCTGAAGAAGTTGCAAATGCAGAAATAAAATCAGTTGCATACCAAAAAGATATTGACGTGGTAAAGAAATTCATAAAACCAAGACAAGCAAATGCGTAATTTAGTAGTTTTAATTTAGTGGACAAATATCAAAATGGAGAAAGTTCTTGAATAACGAAAATGAGTCAAAAGGCAAAGACTGGGTTGAACCAAATAAACAAAACTGGAAACAAATTAATAATGGCTCAAATAAAAAATAACAACAAGGAGTGCAAGAAATGCAATAGAAAATAAAAACCAAGAAACTGTCCTGCATTCGGTCAAGCGTGCTCTTAATGTAACAAAATAAATCATTGGGCAACTTGCTGCAACTTAAAAAACATACACGAAAATTGCGCTGTAGAATACCATGTGGAATCTGTATCATCTGAATGGTAAAAAAGAAGCTTTGATAATCTTTAAAATTTATAATAAATTGGTACGTGGAAAAATTGACACTGGAGCTGAAGTTGAAAAGCCAAAAAGAGTCTACGACCAACTAGCATCACGTGATAATCTCACTTATACAAATGTTAAACTACGTGGTTATGGAGGAAATCACATTCCAGTGCTTGGAATTGAAAATTTAATATGATGTATTATTACAAAAGTCGTAAAAGGTTGATTAAATTCTATGTTAAAACAAGTAAACTCGTTCTTAGCTTACAAACTTCACAAGACTTAAAAGCTATCAAACTACTAAATGAAGTTAAAACATAAACAAAGCTAAGTCGCAGCAAAAAAGAAATACTCAATACAAAAAAGAATCTACTCTAAAATAAGTAAAACGGATTGATGAAAAACAAGGAAAAGAAGAAATCCCGGCAGATGAATTGATTGCTCAAGTGCATATGATTTATGCAAACTGTTTATCATCAGAAGAAAACCTCAAAGTAATAAAAACAAACATGCTCAAAGATATTACGTTAAATGAAGTAGCGAAGTACATAAATGGATGGCCACAGGATAAAAGAAAGGTTGAAGACTCAGTGAAACCCTAT